CCACATTGTGGTCATGAAATGCCGGTCCCTCCTGCCGGCCTGACCACATTGTGGTCAAGAAATGCCGGTCCCTCCTGCCGGGCTGACCACAATGTGGACATGAAGTGCCGGTCCCACCAGCCGGTCTGACCACATTGTGGTCATTGTTTTGCCGGTCCCAGCTGCCGCGCTGGTCACATTGTGGTCATGACTTTGCCGGTCCCTCCTGCCGGCATGACCACAGCTTTGCAGGGCAACTCCAACCCGGGGTCGTGCTGCCGAGATGGTCACACTGTGGTCATTTCCAAATTAATTCCAAAAGTGGCTCCGGCAGTTGGGACCGACAGGGTCAGAGGGCCTCCGGCCCCAACGTGTTTTAAAGAACTGACAATTTTTCGTCTTTGCAGTACATAACTTACAAACAATTACATGATAACTGACCTATTAGTCAGTAATCCAGCTGCTTAAAAACGTATGCACTGTTAAAAAAAATGTTGGTATTTCACGGAGATATAGTTGCGAAAAAAATTGCCAGAGATCTCTGGGATTACCCAACGGCGTTGGGCCAACGCCTTCGTAGGTTTTCATAAGCCGAAATACAAGTATTGGACGATGGATAAAGGTCCTAAACCTGCACACACCATTTCAATATTCAAGTTTAGGTGATCTACATGTAGAGGGCTGTTTTAGAAACACGCTAGTGTTTGCTTACGGATGTTTGACCATGCTAAAACTCGAAACCAAAGATCGGTGGGAATTCCCAACGTCGCTGGAGTGTAGTCTTTGGAAAATTCCAACACATGTTTAACAGTGTGTACTTACTAACAAAAATATCAGTACAGGTCTGAGAAAGTATTTGGCGTTGCCTTTTTGAAATCATTCAGTAGGAAACTTACGCGCACTGAGGGTTGCTGGTTGTGTCGAGGGTGAGCCCCGTGTTCCTGAGTGGCTCCTCCATCCTGACTGCGACCCTGAGACCCTCGACGGTGGTGGCCAGGTCGTGGCCCTGGTCGTCGCCGAAGAAGTTGAGGTTGACTAGCGGCGTGCCGTGCGGGTCTGAAGCGTTGAGGCGCACCCAGCCTTTGCTCTCGGGGCGCAGGAGCGACACGCCCACGATCACACGGTTCACCCGCCACGAGTCCCCGGCTAGGCACAATCTAGAGGTGACATAGAGCGACAAGTAACAGGTTCAGCTTACTCACTCGAATAGTGACCCAGATGCTATGGAATTTGTCTGTAGTTGGCTCAGCGATAGCGAAGCCTATTACTCCAGTGATGATCAAAAAGTTTCGCGTCGGTCTGTTTGTTTGTCTGTCTGTCTGTTCGCACGATTACTCGAGAACGGTTTGAGGTAGAAGTCTCAAATTTTTTTTGTAACTTTGTTTCATAAAAAGGAAGAACTGTATTGGTTTTGAGCCCTCTGGCTCAAAAATTGACGTGTCAAAAAAATCAAAAACAAAGAGCCCAAAACATTTCTTCTAAAAAATATTTTTTTTACATCTTTCTTGGAAAGAACTCGTCAAAGTAGAACGCTTTGGCCCAAACTTTTGTCCGTTTGGCTCTATCTCCGTTTGGGCGCCAAAGGTGCATTTTCACCCGAAAATCACCCCAAAACATTGATTTTTTTTTCTCAGATATGTTATGTGTCCGGTGGGGTAACTCGTCCCGAAGGTCTTTTTATGACCGTGCCTTTTGCCCGACTCCGGTGTCAGCGCCGCAGGCCTAGGTAGATGTATACCAGGCGGCTCGCAGCGTAGTGTTTCGTGAGATATCGCGAAGCCTGTTACGCGAGACGTGGTCTGGCGTACATCTACCTAGTTAAAGAACTCTAAGATAAGAAAGACGTCTATAGATTTCGATGGATCGTCTAATGCCCGTCTAGCTGGTCTAAGTTTTTAGACGACTAGACGTAGATGACTAAAAGAGGTCTAATAGATATCTTTTGACATCTACGAACAGGTTTTGTCGAGAAACAGACGACGCAAGACGATCTATTTCTTGTCTAACCTGTTTATGTACTTAGACGTCTAGCGCGAGACAAAGTGCAGACGTGCCGAGATGATCTAACTCTGATCCATCCCATCTACAACCTTAGACGTCTAGCGATAGACAACGTTTAGACGTGCCGAGACGATCTAACTCCAATCTAATCCATCTACGACCTTAGACGGCCAAGCTTTAGGATTTTTAACGCAGCAAGGTATGAAATTTTTGATCGCCTGGAGATAAATTGTACTCAAGCGCTGGCTTGCATAACACACCTGCAGACTTTTAACTTAATACTAGGTAGATGTACGCCAGACCACGTCTCGCGTAACAGGCTTCGCGATCTCACGAAACACTGTTACGCTGCGACGCGCCGGGCATACATCTACCTAGGCCTGCGGCGCTGACACCCGAGTCAAGGAAAAGTCGTAAATAGCCATTCAGCCCCAAAAGTCACAAATTTTGTTCCTCGGGGTTTTATTTTAACGAGTTACCCTACCGAAGACCATCAAATATCTGAGAAAAAACATAGAAATGTGTTGCGGTCATTTTGGTGTAGAAAAATCGCTCTGGTGTCTAAACGGTTAAAGATAGAGCCAAATAGACGAAATTTTCGTCCGCAAGCCTCTACTTTGATGAGTTACCCCTTAGGAAAGAGTAAAAGAATATTTTTGAAAAACTCCATTTTGGGGACCTGAGGTTTTAGAATTTTTAAAAATCCAATTTTCGAGCTAGAATGCTCCTCTTCGAACTCGATCTGTCTTTTTATGACACAAAACGACCCTGAAAATCCCAGGTCGCTAGCTCAATTCGTTCTCGAGTTATCGTGCGCACAGACAGACAGACACACAGACACACAGACAGACGCGAAACTTTTTGATCATCACTGGAGTAATAGGCTTCGCTATCGCTCAGCCAATCAACGCTAGGTCTCTTGGCCACTCTAAATCAGAGGAAAAGAGTCCCGAGTCCGGTGAGACGAATGCTACTGGAACCAGACTGAACTCACGTAGGAGACAACTCGTGTCGTAGTGGTCAGCGTCGAGGGTTACCAATCCGAAGTTACGAGGTTCGAAACCGGGCAAGGTAAGGTAAAATAGAATTAATCAGTTCAATGAGCTACAATCGAGATAACGATCTACCAAAGAGATTGAAGAAAAGCGCCAGAGGAATAAAGTACAGAATCATTTTTGAATTTGAAGGTTGCATTGTAAAAATCTTATAAATATCTAGATGTCATCTAAAAGGCATCTAAATATAGACGTCTACTGATAGACGTCTAATAGATGCCTTCACAGAGACAATCAAGACGGTCTAATAGACGTCTACCGAAGACGTCTATTAGACAACTTGCCGTCTAGCAATAGATGTCTATTAAACATCTAATAGACGTCTATTTTCTCTTAGGGAAACATCGAAATATCACCAGGGCCAGGGGTCTACTACTACCTACTGCATAATCTTGGCCACAGGTCCCGACATGCTAGTGCGTTTGAACTTCGTCCTCAAAAACTAAAGTCCACAATTGCAAGCGCACACAAATCAGTCTCCTCTCTCTCTGTACCTGCTTTTGTGATACTTTTAACACAAAACTTTGCCTTAACTCATGTTTTACGATCCCGCTAAAGTATCGCTCTTTTGAACATGTACTTTGTATCGCTAATAACTTTTTGATTTCGTCGCAAGTTTTCAGTGATACAGAGTTATAATTTTAACAAGCTAGGCCCGCTCTCCCGCCAGACCAAGTTGCCAGCTCCGCCTTGCTCCACCGGCAACTCGGTTCGGAAGGGAGCGGGCCTAGCTTGGCCTGCCGGTGGCGTTCTGAATTTTCATGGTGTAATAAAGCCTCTATCGGAAAACGGGCCTTTCGCGAAGTTTGAGTGACGGCTCTCATTGAACCATTTATTTGCCAGGACCTTTGCTGTGGACTTCGTAATGAAAACTCAACAAACGAAGCATCATTTTCATGCGCTGAATATCTTTGTATGTGTGTGCCGCAGTTTGTAGAATACATGCAAGAGCAAGTTACGCCAAATCCCTTCTAAGTTATTGATGTTAGCTTGTGGATCCAGTAACACACCTATAAAAAGATATATGAGACTAGACCCAGAAGAAGTTAAGTATACTTCCAGGCATACTCTGAATGACTCCGAACGTGTCTGAACAACGAAATGAATGTTGTTGTTTTTTGCAGGGACACTGATAACTCAACAGTGTGCATTGCACACTGCATATGCAGTTGTGCAATGCACACTGTTGAGTTATCAGTGGAGTGTACACATTTTATTAATGACGTGCCACCATAAAATAAGCCCACTCCTCTGCTTAGACGAAAGTTTTTAACCGACGGCATACTTCTCAGACAATATTGTACTCCTGAAAAAAATAAAAATATTTCTGTTCTGGCCATTTTGGTAAGCAAAACTCCCTATTGTAAGTAAACAGTGAAAGCCAGACGGGCGACATTTTAGACCAGATGGTTCTTCTTTCACGATTAAACCCCTTGGAGACCATCAAATATTTTCTTAAAACAATATATTTATTTTTGGGGCTCTACTTTCACAGGTTACCCTTTAAGTGTCCATCAAATATTTTCTAAAGTAATAATTTTTATTTTGGGGGCAGTTTTGTGAGTAAAACTTCATCTAGCGCCTAAACGGTGAGAGAAAGAGCCAAACGGACGAAATTTTCGCCCTTAGGGCTCTACTTTCACAAGTTATCCCTTAGAAAACCATAGAAAAATCCCACTTCTTGAACCAACTCCTATTTCTTTGTTACCCCCTCAGACCCACTCAGGGGTGGTTGCCAGGATTTGCACATTTGCACCAACCGTTTCGTTGTCCAGAAGTTACAACAATAATACCCTAAAAATTTCAGACCTCTAGCTCACGTCCTTCTTGGGGAACAGACAGACAGACAGAGGGGCGATGGCATAAGCCCGCTTATATAGCTTTTAAGCAAAAGAGCGGGCTAAAAAGAGCGATGCTTCAGAGCAATCGCAAAACATCAGTTACCGCAGATCGTGTATCATCCGTGTCTTAGTGTCTTGTAGGTGAGTGAAAAGACGGGTATGCGTTATAACACTTACGGTCCTATCTCCTCGGTCTGGGTTGTGCCAAAGAAGAGCAGCTGCAGGTCGGGCTGGTGCCCTGTCCCGGGCTTCGCTAGCTTGGACCTGAAGAAGGCCATCAATTGCATCATGTTGGTGGCGGCCAGGGCGCCCTCGCGGCTGCTTTTGTACTGGCGGAGGTCCTCCTGCCGGGTCTCCCAGTCGAAGGCGCACAGAGGCGGCCCGCACTTGTACCGGATACCCAGCACGCCCGTATGGTCCTCCAGCCCCTCGCCTACCGGCAGGTCCGCCACCACCGGCACGCCGAGTGTCTAGGTGCACCCAGAGAAATATGTTGTTAATATCCGATCGGTACATACAGGCAGTGGTTTGAAGGTTCTGAAAGAGAGTCAGTCCCATCCCATCCACATCCAAGTCCAGTTAGGCTAGTAGTCGGACAGCGACTATAGGATCAGGTACACTGTAAAAAGTATTAGTAATTTACTAGCTACTGGGTGGGGAAATTTCATGTACAAAGATTTGCAGTACATATTGGTTGGGAATTAACCTACTGGAATGGAAAGTAGCCTTTGCATGCCACTTGCGCTGTGAAACGATTCTTTCCTGCCCACGCAAGTGAATTTCCTGACATCACTGACTGCAAATTTTCTCACGTGGGCTGGAAAGGGTCCCCTAGTAACATAAAACTGTCGCGCATAGTGTAATTTTTTTAATTGGCCAATCATTGTGACGATAGCAAAAATCCAAAAGTAATGGATTTTCCAGAGTCCGACGATTGTCGCCGGGCTATCAAATTTAAACCATCTAATATCTTGTTGTATTGATATCGATTCCTGGTCAAATCCACAACAGTGGTTTTTCGGTTCTATTCTGATAGCTACACGCAGAAAAAAATATTCAGTTCAGTGCTAATTTTTTTAATAGTACGTCGGTTGCTGTCAGACTAGAAAAATTAGCGCGGGTGCTAATCGTGTTTGCTGAGTTTTTCAATCAAGTTAACTTAATGTTTGTCTTGAGAAAGATTTTGGAGAAGCGTTCTCCTTTGCTTATTTGCTAATTTTGTGACCTGTGCCACTAAAACTCAACAGTTAAATAGGGCTAGCTGTAGTGAAACCAGCTTTTAGATATCAATCGAACTATTTTACATTTTTGGGTGTCCTCTTAGCTCTCGCTGCTGAACCGCCACGCTCTATCAGCCGTATGGCGGGGCCTCCGCACCCACTGATATCACGGCGCTCGCGCGCACGTGATCAATTTTTGACAAGTCGTCGGCCTCTGGCGGCCCGAGGGAGCTTTAACCCTCCAATGCCTCGCGCCCTTACACTCAATCAATTAGGGACCGGGATAAACCGAGAATTCACCGGGAAGTGGACACCCCGAATTAAACCTAATTAGCACTGGTGCAAATCATGCTTTAGTAACGTGATTAGAACTGAGGCTAAATTTTTAGCCGAGTCTATTCAGTAAGTGAAAATTAGAACCGGTGCTATTTTTTAAGGACCCGGGCGAACTTTTTTTCTGCGTGTAGCCGATAAAGATTTTCGTTCCGAGGAAAAGAAAAATTATAGCAATAGAATCATTTTTCTTATTTCGTATATCGCTCCGACAGTCCCTATCTTTTTTCTACTGTTGTCCAACAATCGTACGACAGTTCTGTGCTGCTACGGTCCTTTCGGCACCCACCGATTGCGGATTTCCCTACCCGGACCAGGAAATTCCATGACCGCGGGTGAAAAAGTGTACAGTGGACTCTCGATAACTGTCGCCTCGATAAGTGTCGCGTGCGAGAGAGATAGCTATAGAAAAATAGCGCGTTCCATGCGGACTGACTGCCGGCTCCGGCGGCTCGCCCGACTCGCCTGCCGGAGGAGTGGGGAGAGCGGAGCACGGCAGCAGCGAACGCACAGTACCCTCGATTACTGTCGCGGCGACAGTTATCGAGAGTCCACTGTACTTGCGCAGCCCACTGCCTGGAAACCTCCACGCGGCGGAAACGGTTTTTGCCACGCATGGTGGGAGAACACCTACCCGTGAAACACGCCGGGTGCAAATTTCCCACAAATTCTTGACTGCCTTAGCATCGTGGGAGGAGAGGAAGGTGGGTTCGGACTACTACTACACCAACGCCACGCCAGCCAGAACCAATCAACTCTTTCCTGTACCCTCGGCCCCCTCGGCGCGAAGCCTGGAATACACTGCCGCTAGATGGCGTTTCAGTCATCGCGCATCCCACAAAATCAGCTTTTTCCATTAAATTGAAACTCCCTTCAGAAAATTGCATTGGATTTTACTCAGTGTGTTTCAAAAGAAATCACCCTAGCCGACAACGATCGGCGTTTGCCGAAAAAGTGAACCGTGCCCTTCAAAAAATTTGTTAAATTCTAACGCTCGGAAGGTTTCAGCAACGACGCCTTGTTCAGTACGTCCCGGTCACCTCACCTCCCTCGACCAGTCGATTGGAATCCGTTCTGTTCCCCCCACCAGTGGTAAGGGCAGTCGGGGAACACCATGACTGAGTCCGTAGCTTGGCTCATTTCTTTCAAGTGGCCCAAGTCCCGCCAAGGCCACCAGTGCCCTGGCGGTGAAGAAAATAGTGTGCCTCACCAAGCCAGAAGTACACTCCTACGGGGACGAGAAGCTGTTAGTTGTGCCCCTAGAGCACCTGGCTGAATGTCTCCACGCCGCCATCTCTTCGAGTCCGCGCGGCTGCACCTGGAGGCCCTACAAGCGCGACCCAGTAGTGCGTCGTAGGACCCCCGAAGTCTACTTGAGTCTCACCCGAGACGTGCACCATACCGTCGGCGTTACCTCCCTGGCCAGAACGTTCGGGACGCGCCGAGTGGCGCTCCTGCCAGACGCCCTGCAGCAAGACCCCGGTCTCTTTCTGTACAGCGCGGAGGATTACGACCTGGGCTGTCTCCTCCACGCCCTGTCCTCGGGCATCCCCATCTTCGGGTTGACGTTCGAGCTCCTCCTCTCCGAGGTCGTCGGCACCTGCGCCGCCGACGCTCGGATACGCCACCTCCCACCGCCCCAGCTGCCGGTGAGGAAGCACGCCATCGCCGTCCAGACCGAGATCGAGGATGAGCCCATGGCAACTTCACCCGCTCCGCCCCGGACGGAGACCGGCCTCCCGGCGACCAAGGCCGCCAAGCAGAAGAAGGCCAGAGGCGGCGCCCGCACCAGTGACGACGCGCCCCCACCACCTCGGCAGTGCTGGAGATGCCAGGCCTGGGGCCATGAAATCTCTGCCTGCGAAGGCGCGGACCGGTTCAGAAGATGCGCCGGTCACCACAGGTCATCGGCCTGCGACCGGAAGGCCCCCCTCGCGTGCGTGAACTGCGCGCAGCCGCACATGAGCTCCTCTGCGAGCTGCCCACTGCGCCCACAACATCAGCGGTCCAGCGCGAGGAATGCGGCCAGCCAGTCAACGGCCAGACGTCAACCGGCACCCTCCACCCGGCGCCACCAGCGCCAGCCGGACGTCAGCGCTCTGCTTCACCTGCTCCTGCTGCAGATGGCGGAGAGGCTCACGCCTGTTCTTCTCCCCCGCTGGCCCCGGCGTCGAGGAGGGATACCGAAGCCAAAGGCTTCGACCTAACATCTCGGGGTTTTTCTTTATTTTCCCTCGAATTTGCCCTTCTTACTTTGATAATCTGTTGTGTGACTTAAACTTTGATCTTTATTAGCTGGTATTAGGAACGGCTACGGCTGTGTATGTCTATGTACAAAATATGTATGTAACGCAATATGACAATAAAAACTTTTAAACTGCAAACCTCCCTCAAGTGCACCCGTGTCCGTAGTACCCACGTGACTAGTAACTCCATTGGTCGCTTTTATGACATTGACACTTCTTGAGATTGATGTTCAATTTTTTGAAACCTATATCGGAAACCGACGGACTTTCCCACAGTCCCGTCGGCCCCGAAAGCAATGACTATATCACGCATACTGATACTGCTTCCAAAGACTGTGACCGGAGAGGAAATTTCCTTGCCTGTGGTGTGGCAACGCCGCCTTCCTTCCCGTGGGCTGGAGATTTGCATGTAGTGGGCACGAAAGTCATCCTCACTAGCGCGCACTGGGAAGTTTGCTGACGGTGGGTCAATCAAGACTCTTTTCCTGCCCACGTAGTAAATTTAATTGGGTGGGTTGGAAAGACTCCTTTCCCGACCACATTATGGCTTGTAAATTTCCCCACCAGTGGACCGGGGATTTCCTGGCTATTGGGTCTGTAAATTTACCGAACAATAGCCGGCAAAGGAGCGTTGCCACGCACGCGGGGAGGGGAAAATTCCCTCAATTTTTTTTACAGTATAGATTGTGCAAGCGTGATACGGACACTGTAAATAATCTCGTAAACAAATACAGTGAATATCTTTCTATTTTTAACATAATAATCGACGTTCTTTTAACCCTTGCTCTGTAATTCCAAGTGCACAAGTCGGCAGTCCTGCAATACAACTGCGAAACAAAAAAGTTGTGCACTTCGGCACTTCTACAGTAGAGGTGTACGAACAGTTCGAATTCGAATCGAAACTGTCTCGATTCGATTCGTTTCGATCTCGAAACAAGGCACTTCGAACTCGAACAATTTGGACACATCAAAATTTTGAAGTTTGAAATCGAAACAACATGTGCACATGGAGCGCACGCTGGGAACTAATACTAAAGGGAAGGTTTTTCATTGGATAAGAGGATAGTTTGCCAATCTCTTTGTTTTTAGAGAGAATCTGAGCCCTAACACTTATTTGCTGCCCCATTTTAATGGTTTATAGCATCTACTAGAATGTTAAGAAATGATTCGATTCGCATTCGAAAAAGCAAGATTCGATTTGATTCGGGGTAAAATTTTTAGATTCGATTCGAGGAAAAAAAATCCAGATTGGATTCGATTCGACTCTGAAAAAGGGAGATTCGCACACCTCTTATTCTACAGGAAACTTTATGACCAAAGGTGAAAATATATTTTCTGACTAACCGTCATATTCGTCTTAAGTCCTCTTTCTAGCGAGCATCAATGTGAAAGCGTTGACTGAAACAAGTACTGACTGACTGACTTGACTGAAACAGTAAACTGAAACAAGTACAAGTACTCAAATGGAATTCAAAAATTCGTATTCTTTTGTGTAACTCTTTTCATTTAAGTGGCAACCCTGTCATATTTATCCTCTTTGAAATATAATTTTATAACGAAGATGATGGTGTGATCAGAAAATGTAATCTATGATCAGAAAGTTCCCCCAGTTTACAATTCTATGACATTAAAAGCGCCCTTACCTTTAGGTGCTTTGAGGGTCCAATGCCTGAGAGGAGCAGAAGTTGTGGACTATTTAGGGCTCCGGCAGAAACTATAACCTCCTTTGAAGCACGAACTTCGATCACCTGCAGAGCAAGTGTGTCAACAGTTTTCTATTTCGAGATTGTGCGAGGCTAATTATCAAGCATAACACAAACATTCTGCAAATCATTCTGCAGGACAGTATGGCAGTTGTAACTGAAAAACTTTGTTATTCAGTTTATATTGCCATACTGTCCTGCAGTTTGATTTGCAGAGTTCTCTGGGAAGCGTCGTAGTGACGAAATTGGACCGACAAAGTGTATTCTGCCTTTTCTCTGAAATTTGCAAGAAAGCAACCTTCAAAAGATGTAATGGTGGCTAGCTAGTAATTTCATATTCTCAGTTTCAGTCCAATTCAGCCAATAAACGAAATCTATAGCCCATTAAATAAGAATTCCGCATGAGCCGTTCACTCTCATTTCCTCAAAGATGTGCTATTTCCATAATATGGGGAATTTTCTCCATACTTAATGGATGAAGCCATGTATGGAATAAGCATGAAATTATCCATTTAACGGATAATTTTACCCGTATTACAGATTTTTTTAAATGTATTTCAAGACCCAGCCCAAGAGCGTTGCCCTAGGGACGCAAAAAATCCATACTACATTGCACAAATATCCTTGTAATATGAATCCGTAAAGAAAAGGGAGTTTTCACTTTTCATCATACTTTACCTGGCCTCCTGCATTTTCGTACTTCACACCAACTGCTTGAAGACCAGCCACCGTTTCTTCAAGAAGAACTTTCCGAGCGATAGCGAACGTTTCTACTCGGAGGTTTGACCGTTCTGCTACTACTGGTTCAAGGTAGCTCCGATAGGTGCTCCATCGCTCTCCGTCGACCTGGTGAATGGACAACAGCTATATTAAACTACGAAACTAAACAAAATCTGTGCTGCACTTTGCGTACAGCACAATGCCGACTGAACCCATGAAATGGCATGCTAAATGCACACCCTAAAAGTCTCTGGATACTTTTGTTGACAGACTTTCCGCGTATTTCTGCGCATCGTGTCTGTGTATATTTTCCACTAGACGGACTTCAGCTGGAGACTTGCAATTTTGAGGGTGTCTTACGGGTCACTCTTGGGGGCATGCTTGCTATGGACAAAATTGACTATTTACAAACGACTCGTTCACACACTTACGATGTCAATGAGCTTCTGAATCGACAAATTTAATGGAATTTGCCTTTTGCCGATGGACAAAAATGAAAGTAATTTTCGAAGATCCATGGGTCAAATTTGTTATGTGCAAGAAACAAAAAATGCATCTTCATAGAGGGTATGCTTTAAATTATCACAAAATAAACCTAGCCCTTCGCAATTTAGTGTGAAAGAACAACTCACCTGGGTGGATTGCGCAATGGTTTGGCCCAGCTGTGCCCGACCATTGACGTCACGCCGATAGGGAAGTCCCAGCTTGTTGAGTGCCGCAGCAAGTGGCGTCATAGCGGGATGCCGGTAGCTCTCCCAGGACACTTTTTGGGGGCCGCCGTGGCCATGGAACCCTAACGAAAGGAACGGCATTAATGCATAATTACAAAAGTATATTAAAAGGAATGAAACACAACGGATAAAAGAAACGGCATTTCAGTCTAAGAGCAGAGGAACAATTAATTTTGTGTCACAAATGGAACGGTTTGATACGCATCCAGCTTCAGACAAAATTTGTTCCTAAACCGAGACAATTTGTCTCAATGTTTTAAAAATATGTGTGAAATTTGACACAATTTGCCTTAGTTTACAAACAAATTTTGTTTGAGGCTTGATGTGTATTGCAATTTTTTGACAGTACTGTTGCACCACATTTATAAATAGAGTTTAGAAACATCATACGTCTGTCCCAATTGACGGCAAAATCCAAGTTGTCCTCTGACTTCTTGAAGTACGGGAGGACGTTGCGGTAGCTCCAGCGGTCGTCTCCAGTGAGGTTCGCCCACGTGTCAAAGTCCACGTCACTGCCCCGCACGAACACCATGCCGTTGATGGTGCTGCCGCCGCCGAGCACCGCTGCGACGTTGAGCAGACAGCCGGTACCGTTGCAGTTTTGCGGCTCTGGCACGGCCTTTACAAGAGAGCAAATCGCAAATGTTTAGGCCTTGTAGGCTTTGAGATAATGGGAAAGAGAGAGGAAGATGTTAACTAGCGACAATACGGGGCCGGTATCAGGAAACGCAACCTCACATACCGTTTGAGATTGACGTTCATTCTACGATTTTCGATTTCCTGTCGAAATTGTACATATTGTTTTAGGTGGTTTTAAATTTTCGAATGTGAATGCAAGCAGCTTATGCGAGAATCCTTACATTCAAAAATGTGCACAGATTTTCCAACTCTGCTTTATTGCTTCTTGACATCATCTTAAGACTTTCCGATGCGGTGGAATACACCATTTCATGCAGCTTCCAAACCACCTCAAAGCAGACCATTCGTCGTGGGTAGCCATGATTACTCTGTGGCGATCTTATTCACCATTGCGCCTAATTCACTTGGCTTTTTGCCCACCTTTGTTGGTGAGAACTTGGGAAAGTATGCACCATAGTGTAAGGAACTACCATGAACCAGGGCACGGTGGAGGGAGAGGTAAGGTGTAATGTAGATATATATCTATATCACCTTAGGGAGAGGAGGTGGCGGCACGAGGGTCTCCCAGCCTAGGAACCCGTGGGTCCAGAATCTCGACAGGTTGGGGGATTAGTGGCCGAGTCGGGGCCTGTCTGGAGTACCTGCGGTCGGGGCTGCCCTACAGGTAGGTGGGCCGCCCCGACTTAGCTTGAGCGGCGCCGACCGTCGTCCTGACCGGGGTGTGCGAGAGAGAAGGGTCGCTGTGCGAGAGAGACAGACATCTCCTGGCGCGGCACGGCACGGCCGGCCGGCCGTCCTGCTAGCGGCCCGTGGGACGGGCGGGTAGTTTGAACATATGAACTAATGCGGCGGGCAGGGCGGCCCCGCGGCCCTCGCCGCTCGGGGGTGTTCAGAGCACTGACAAGGGGACTTAGGCAAGTGTAAATCCCCGATCGTGCCCAAACTCGGTATACTTGCTTCTTATCTATGTAGGTGACGAATGACGACCAAATTTTTTCCTGAGAGTCATGTGCCGAAACTCCCTATAAAAGCGTACAATTTCGCAAAATACAAATTTCTACTTTTGTACACATATTAAGTGATATTCTGACTCAAAATGAGCGGTTTTGGGGGGGTAGTTCTTCTGAAACTTTTCGATTTGAGACCTCCTTCCGTCATTTTTGGCTAAATTCAATAGTTTTCCATTATTTCCCCCCCTAAAGTACTTTAAATTGACACTCGGGAAAAAATACTACCGTCAATCGTCATCAACATGGATAAGAAACAAATGTACCGAGTTTGGGCAAGATCGGGAATTTACACTTGCCTAAGCCCCTTTGTTAGCGATAACAATGAATGCAAAGTAGTCACGGTTACCGGGCCGCGCCGCCGGACAACTTGGGGGGACTGTTGGCACGAGCACGAAGACGTCATGGGGCGAAAGTGTGCCGTCAGGGGGCGTACAACGGGGTACACTGTGACAGGCATCCAGTTGTTCACATGCCAGAACAAGGTAAGAAATCGACACTGGCACTGGCGAGGCAATAGACACGAAGCTCGTCGTTTCCTTCATGTAACCTGGTTGTCTAGGACGTACTAGCCCAGTGGCAATAGGCGATCCCGGGGAAGTCCTCGTTTCGGGTGATGCAGCAGGCCGTCACGATGGAGACCACGGTGTGCGGGCGGCACTTCTCGGGGGAGGACATCCTCACCCACGACGTAAAGGCGGTGCAGCGGGGGCGGCACCGTCGTCGTGCCAAAGTTCCGGCCTCTGCTATGCGCAAGGACGCAGTTCCTTGCAAGTTCGACAGCACAGCACCCCCCGAGCCCGTCCCATACCCCGAGCCCGTCATGCCCCCTGCCAGCATTAAGTTCGACGAGGATGACCTCGCTCCCGCCCCCGCGTGCCCTTCTCCAGCCACGCCGCAGTTGCCGCGGACTTCCAAGACCGCGGTGCGCCCTTCGGCCCGACTAGCCTTCCCGTCTCCGTCCACCCCGCGAGCAGCACCACGACCACCTGCGCTGCCTGCTGCTGCTGGTCGCGCACCGTGCAGTGATGGCCAGCTTGATGCCACCTCCTCCCCCTCCCCCACCTCTTCCACCCGCGCCGCAGCCACCTCCAGGTCCTCGCACTGGGTTCGGGACTAACCCCCCAGCTCCTAGCACTCTGGTAATTTCTTTTGTGTTGTACCAAGTGTGGGTGAGTTACTCACCCCGTGGCTCAATCTCAAAAGACTGAGACCCTATTTTTTTGCATTACTGTCAACCCCACCGTGCTCGAGCACCTCAGAGGAGCATACTCCTCTGCGAACCCCCTTTAGCCAGGTCCAGGCCAGTACCCCATTTTTACAAACTCCTACATGCAGAGAACTGGTACATACATAACAGTATGGAGGATTTTTACATTATTTTAAAATGCACTTATAGGTTGTAACTTCTACGTGTCCCTTTAGGAGTATGATGAATCCGATACAGACACAG